TAAAATCATAAGTCAGGAAAAGTAGGTCGTGTCTGGAAAATGTTGGGACAGATAACTGATCATAAAGAACGATTTTTTCTTTATCATTGACAAAACAAAGGTCCAATAATGTACTTGCAGTGTTTGAGAAATGTGTTGGTCTACTATTATTGACTAGATGCAAGCCTAACGATGCCATCGCTGACTCCATATGTCGTTCCTTCAGTATATTGCTGTTTAGATCCCCGATTATAATTACGTCAGTATAGCTTACAGATAGGTCTGAAATTGCATCAATTACTTGTTGGTAGATTGTATTGCGGTGTGGTCTGTACAGACAGCCCAATAGTAATTTAAGAGAACTGTTAGAGGCCGATAATTCTATAAAAAGGTATTCTATTGCACTTTCTGGAGGGTGCTTGCATATTAATTTGGATTTGAGTTTCTTGTTTATGTATACAGCAACACCCCCACCATTTCCTTCCCGATCAGATCGGTATAGATCAAATCCGGTACACAAAATAACATTATCACATAGATGCGGCATGAACCACGTTTCCGAAACACAAACTACATCAACATTCGATTGTTCAAACATATATCGGAACTCATCAATCTTACCATACAGACTCTGAGCATTTATATGACAAATATTTATGCCATCTTTTTGTTTAGCCAGCGTACGAATCAATATCCTACTATTCGTTGGAAGTCTATTCATATTATGGACCATTTAAAAGTTACTAAATAGCATATTAGCAGCACACGCAATATACACAAATCAATTATAACTATATAAAAACATAAAACCTTAAACTTCAACATTATATTACTATGGCTAAGGGAAGTTTTACTAACGAAAAAGGTTATTCTGGTCTGTCTCAACTGGCCTGTTAACTGCACCTGGATCAACTGCTGCAAGCTCATCCTCGGAAGTATCCCGCAATGTTTGCAGGTCATGCATGTTATCCACTCTAAAAATCTCTCCAGCTGGATGCTTCTTAACATGCACGATCGCCCGACGAGTGAAAACAGCCGATAGTGCTTTTCCTTTTTTCATTTTCATAGCCTCTTTGAAAACAGCCAGATTCTCTTTAGACAGCTGCTCATTAATATAAAATGCAGCCTGTGAGTCGAATTCCATTAGGTCCAGTGATAGCAGTTTTTTCGATTCCCTGCGATAGTTGCCAACAGCTTGCAACAACGCCGCCTTCTCTCTCACACTCTCTAGTCGCAGGATTATCACTGGATCAACAGCTGTTCCGTGTGTTCTCTGTCGGATCCTAAAGATGTCTTTCACCCTTGGGAGGGGTGTTAGGTTAAGGGCAAAGCACATCTTGTTGAATCGGACCTTCAACATTTCACCTTCTTCAAAGGGTATTCCATGAATACGGAGATCACACGCAATGTCCGCTTTGGCGCGCTCAACACATTGTGTGCTTAGATCTCTAACTTGCGCACGTATTTCTTGCATACCATGTACCTCATTTTTGAGTTTGATAATTTGCTGCTCCATTTCGTGGATTACCTCACCCGCCTTTTCCAATTGCAGGACACGTTCAGTGAGTTTCTTCACATCTACTGCCATACCAAGAATTTGATTGGTCATAGCTGTGAACTTTTCCTCTATGGCCTGCAATACACCCTCAGACTTTAACGTATTTGCCGTGATTAGTTCAGCCTGCTTAGCAAACATTCTGTCCAGGGCTTTCTGAATATTTTCTGGTATTTCCTCAGAACTCTTCGAGCCCTTGAGATCAGTTCCAGATTTTTCTCGCAGACGTTTTGAAACTGGAGCCATGTTCAAAACGTTTTTCCGTTACGGTGCTGCTTGAAATACTGCTTTAAACTGCTTGAAATACTGCTTTGCCGACTCTTTACAATGCGTTGCCAATCGCTTTGCTGTCTGCACTGCTTGCAACCTTTTATTGGGTATGGCTACGTTATTCTCTCAGTGACTCCGAAAGATCAAATGCTGGTTTACAGAGAGTGGTTCAGAACAATAACAAATATTCTTCTTCCACAGCACAACCAATAACAAATATTTTTCCACTGTATTTTATTAAAATTGGCTTTGTAGCGTTATCTTCAATTATTTCCACCGTCAATTGTTGTCTTTCAATGCGTACACAGTTTATGATGTGAACAAAACACTCTATTTAATAATAATAATAATAATAATAATAATAATAATAATAATAATAATAATAATTTGTGGTAAAAGTGGATGTGTGTAACGTCCAGAAGGAATCGTTTCCGACCCCATAAAGTTTATATATTCTTGATCAGCATCAATAGCCGAGTCGATTGAGCCATGTCTGTCTGTCCGTCTGTCCGTCCGTCCGTCTGTCCGTCTGTCCGTCTGTCCGTCCCCTTCAGCGCCTAATGCTCAAAGACTATAAGAGCTAGAGCAACGATGTTTTAGATCCAGACTTCTGTGATATGTCACTGCTCCAAAAATATTTCAAAACTTTGCCCCGCCCACTTCCGCCCCCACAAAGGGCGAAAATCTGTGGCATCCACAATTTTAAAGATACGAGAACACCAAAAACGCAGAATCGTAGAGAATGACCATATCTTTTAGACTGCGGAATCTGAATTGGATCGTATTATTATTATAGTCAGCATCAAGAAAAAAATTTCATTTTTTCTCGCCCTGTCTCTCTCTAACACACACGTAGCATAGGCGGCTTTGCTTAGAGTAAAACATTAGCGCCTAGATCTCAGAGACTATAAAAGCTAGAGCAACCAAATTTGGTATCCACACTCCTAATATATCGCACCGAGACGAGTTTGTTTCAATATTTCGCCACACCCCCTTCCGCCCCCGCAAAGAATGCAAATCTGGGGATATTCACAAATCTCAGAGACTATTAAAGCTAGAGTAACCAAATTTGGTATCCGCACTTCTGTTAGATCTCACTATAAAACGTATATCTCAAAATTTCGCCCCACCCCCTTCCGCCCACACAAAGGACGAAAATCTGTTGCATCCACAATATTGCAGATTTGAGAAAACTAAAAACGCAGAATCATAGATAACGACCATATCTATCAGATTGCTGAATCTGGATCAGATCAGATCATTTTTATAGCGAAAGGAAACAAATCAATTTGCACTGGCTACGCAGCGTCCGACGTCACGCTCAGACTGATTTTCTGTCTCTCTCGCACGCACTCTTTGTCGTGTCGTTTAATATTAGCGGCGTCTGCCGGAGGAGAGCCATACTGACTTAGTATCGGGTATAACTGTAGAGTTGCGGTGTCCGCAGCAACTCACAACGTTCCCCCTCGTTTTGTACTGCTGTCGGTTTTAGTAGTCATGATCGACTACTCCATATGTTAACAGTGCAGAATTATTGCCTGTAACTTTGTTTTTAAGGTCTCCTAACCTTTGGATTACATCGCTGGTCAAATGACCAGCTTCAATCTTTTTAATCTCCCTTGCTATCGCTGCTTGAGCCTCTAATAGCTTAACTATTTGTTCCGACAACATCTTAGTTTAATTTTTATTTTTTTTACTTAATTAGGCTTAAAAACAATTTGAAATATGAGACTTATGAATTCTGCTTCTGCTGTTGTTGTTACTGCTGCCGCTGAAGTCGCTGCTGCTGATACCGCTGTTGCTGCTGCTGGTGTTGCCTCTGCTTACGTCGCTGCTGCTGATATCGCTGTCGCTGCTGCTGGTGTTGCCTCTGCTTAAGTCGCTGTCGCTGATCTTCCTGTCGCTGCAGTTATTGTTTCTGGCACAGTGGGCACACACAAACCCACTTATATATTCTATTTTTCTATATTTAAATTCTAGCCATTAAGCACTTTCGATGTTTCGGATTATTATTTTTTCTCTTTCGATGTTCCGGCCTCGAAAACGCCACCGTCGCGAAAAATTTTTATTTTTCAATTACAATAGATATTTCGTTATCTATTAAAATACAGCCTGTCCAGCTCGTATTTTTCAAAATTATTAATTGAAACTTCCGTTTCATTAATTTTTATTTATTTTTTTTTGTATTTTCCGATCACAATAGATATACCCAGTTATCTATTAAAAATACAGCCTGTTTAGCTCGTATTTTTCCAAATTATTAATTGAAACTCTCGTTTCATTAATTTATTTTATACTCTGTTCCTTCCTATAGGAGGGAAATCAAAGTTTTTATACCCGATACTCAAAATGAGTATTGGGGTATATTAGATTTGTGGTAAAAGTGGATGTGTGTAACGTCCAGAAGGAATCGTTTCCGACCCCATAAAGTATATATATTCTTGATCAGCATCAATAGCCGAGTCGATTGAGCCATGTCTGTCTGTCCGTCCGTCCGTCTGTCCGTCTGTCCGTCCGTCCGTCTGTCCGTCTGTCCGTCTGTCCGTCCCCTTCAGCGCCTAATGCTCAAAGACTATAAGAGCTAGAGCAACGGTGTTTTGGATCCAGACTTCTGTGATATGTCACTGCTACAAAAATATTTCAAAACTTTGCCCCGCCCACTTCCGCCCCCACAAAGGGCGAAAATCTGTGGCATCCACAATTTTCAAGATACGATAAAACCAAAAACGCAGAATCGTAGAGAATGGCCATATCTTTTAGACTGCAGAATTAAATCGTATTATTATTATAGCCAGCATCAAGAAAACAATTTCATTTTTTCTCGCCCTGTTTCTCTCTAACACACACGTAGCATAGGCGGCTTTCCTTAGAGTAAAACATTAGCGCCTAGATCTCAGAGACTATAAAAGCTAGAGCAACCAAATTTGGTATCCACACTCCTAATATATCAGACCGAGACGGGTTTGTTTCAAAATTTCGCCACACCCCCTTCCGCCCCCGCAAATAATATGTAATAATATGCCCCGCAGGTGGTAATATGTGTGCTTTTAGTGCGTTTCGCTTTTCCATTAGATTTACTCGCCGCCCAGCTCTCTCCCAGATCCGACCTGACTTGTAGCGTGCGAAAGATACTTGCATCTATTATATAAAGATGGCCTCACCTGTGCTGAGATGGATGTGGCTGATGCTTGCCCTGGGCCTTTCGCCCATTGCCATGGCCTGGATGGCACACTTTCGGCCATCCAGCCTCACGCTGCGCATGGAGAAGGGCGATCGGGTTTCGCTCACTCTGGAGAACGTGCCGCCGTCAACGTTGCAGCGCCCCCAGCGATATGTCTTCCGCCTGGAGAGTGCCGCCAATGACCTGGCCAGTGTGCCCGAGGAGAACTCCACCATAGCGGTGGATCTGTTGAATCCGGACACACGAGACTGGACGGGCGACATCCAGGTGAATGCCCACTTTCTGGGCGAGACCAAGATCACAGTCCGTCTGTTTGACAACATGTCGAACAGCAGCCAGCTGCCGACGCAGGGCAGCAACGACAGCACGCTAGACGTGAAGGTGCAGCGGCCGAGCCGTGTGGTGGATCATGTCTTCATCGGCTCCATCGTCCTGCTTATGTCGCTGCTGTACATAAACTTTGGGGCCGCCCTCAATCTAGATGTGCTGCGGGGATTGGTGACGCGACCAGTCGGTCCCTGCATCGGATTCGTTATGCAGGTGGTGGGTATGCCGCTGCTAAGCTACGCTCTGGGAGTATTCATATTCCCCGAGGCCCCGGCCATGCAGCTGGGCCTCTTCTTCACGGGAATCTCGCCCAGCGGCGGGGCATCCAATACCTGGTCTGCGGTGCTGGGCGGCAACATTCATCTCTCGGTGCTAATGACAACGGTTAGCAATGTGGCCGCCTTTGTCACGATGCCGCTGTGGATTTTCACACTCGGACAGCTGATCTTTGAGCGGGCCGGGATGCAGGTTCCATACGGAACGATTGCCACTTACTGTGCCTGCCTCATCATACCTCTGCTGATGGGCTTGGCTGTACAGAAGCGTTCGCCACGCCTCACGCGAGTTCTCGTGCGCCTGTTGAAGCCCATCTCTGCCTGCCTCATCCTGTTCATTGTGATATTTGCGATCATCACGAACTTTTATCTATTCTATCTGTTCTCCTGGCAGATTGCTGTGGCCGGCATGGCCCTTCCCGGACTAGGCTACATTTTTGCCTGGCTGGCTGCCAAGCTGCTGCATCAGACCGCCGCCGATGCCCTGACCATTGCCATCGAAACGGGCATACAGAACACGGGCATTGCCATCTTCCTGCTGACCACCACGCTCGAGTCGCCGCAGTCGGATCTCACCACAGTGGTGCCCGTGTCGGTGGCCGTGATGACACCGCTTCCCCTGCTCGTCATTTATCTCTACAATCGCTGCTGTCGCCCCAAGCCGGATGAGGTGGCTGCAGGAGAGTCCCAGCGCATTGTTTGAGGGAAATTCAGCGGCATTTGTGTATCTTTATATTTGTTTCATTCATCCGATTGTACATATCTGTATTATATATATACATATCTTTTACATAGCGGCTTGCAATGGTATGCCGCCGAAGAGGTAGCTTTATAGGCCAAGCCGATTATTATACTATAGAAAATATCTTAGTGATACGATTATTCCACACTCTTCCACGTATTATTTGATAATAAAGAAACCCTCAAAAAAGGATGCAAATCTGGGGATATTCACAAATCTCAGAGACTATTAAAGCTAGAGTAACCAAATTTGGTATCCGCACTTCTGTTAGATCTCACTATAAAGCGTTTATCTCAAAATTTCGCCCCACCCCCTTCCGCCCACACAAAGGACGAAAATCTGTTGCATCCACAATATTGCAGATTTGAGAAAACTAAAAACGCAGAATCATAGATAACGACCATATCTATCAGACTGCTGAATCTGGATCAGATCAGATAATTTTTGTAGCCAAAAGGAACAAATCAATTTGCATTGGCTACGCAGCGCCCGACGTCACGCTCAGACTGATTTTCTGTCTCTCTCGCACGCACTCTTTGTCGTGTCGTTTAATATTAGCGGCGTCTGCCGGAGGAGAGCCATACTGACTTAGTATCGGGTATAACTGTAGAGTTGCGGTGTCCGCAGCAACTCACAACGTTCCCCCTCGTTTATTTTGGATGTGATCGCTACCGGACATCGAATAAATTCTCAAAAATCAAATAGAGTGTCCTTGTTACAAGAAAACAATTTGGGTTGTGGTAAATCCTTTTCAAAGGACGAAAAATCGACAATAAAAGCCTCGAAGGAAGTAGGTCCATCAATAATGAAAATAAGTGATAAAATTGGAAAAAATTAGTTGTGTTATGAGTGATTTCATAAAGAACGGGTCAAATTATGACAAAAAAATAAAAATCCGAAACAAAATTGCTACTTCCGAGACCTCTATGAGATCTCATCTGCGAGCCGCATCTAAAAAACACGACTTAAACTCGATTTAAAAATCTAAAACTGTACTTTAAGCTAGTGCTAAATATATAATAAAACATGTTTTTTTGAATACTCCACACCATAAGAGACTATAATTAATACAAAAAAAAAAAACACCTCAACTTTGTTGCATACTTGATGAACTCGACTTAATGAAAAATTAACTGGTCCACGCCGTTTTAGGATATTGCTCACCACAGAATAATAGCGCTCACACTGCTGTGAAAACGATCCAATTGTAATTATTCTTTACTCCTCACTTCCTGTACTTCCTTGAGTCCTTATAAATATAAAAAAGAAACCCTTATGTCCCTTCAAATTTATATTTTTGTTCCTTTGAAAATGCTATATAGCGACAGTCTTTACTCCACGCCATATGGATATGCAAAAGTACGGTTGTATTCTAAGTTTTCGTCCGTTGGCTGAGGTTTTTTATCATTTATTTTTATTATTGATGGACCTACTTCCTTATATGCTTATATGCTTATATGCTACTTTAGGTACCCCGTTTATCACAAATTTTATATTTAATTCATCTATGTTTACAACAATTTTGGTGTTATTTGTCCTCTTCCCTATTCCCATGTCCTTCTTTTTGATATTACACTTTGAAACCTTACAGAATAAAAATACTTTTTCCCTTTGTCCTTTAAAATCTTATAATGCTGTCGTCGGACGATAGTTTGACCGCAATAGGCGGCTAGTATTAATATAGTATTTTATGTATATCGATAACTAGTTGAATTCAAGCCACGAATGAACGGGAATATTTTCGGCGACCATGAGGTGCCGCGATAATTTAAGCTTCCTTTTTACTGTCGTGTTTGCAGCAGGAGGACATACTGCGGTAAGAGTTATTGGCTCCAGTTAATAGGTTATGTATAATAAAACAAAATAGAATAAAACAGCATCTGATTCAGCATCGCCAGGGGCAAGAGCCCAGAACAATGTGAGTACGCCCATCGATACTGTAATACCTAACGGGGTCGGTGCGAGCAGTGCTGCGTCACAGCTGACGCCAGCTTGGAGTGGACCGTTATTGTCTGTAAGTAGCGGTGTGCCACCTCACGGGGTCGGAGTGAGCAGTACAGCATGCTCGCAGCCGCCATCTTATAGCGCACCACCGCTGCTCGCGAGTAGCAGCTATTTCACGCCATATTGTGCAAACAGCACAGCGCAGTCAGCGCATGGAGTTGTGCCGCCGGGTGTTGGCATCTACAACGACGCCGACGCCACTAGCTGGATCCTACGCCTGGACGACACCAAATGGAAGCAGTAGAAACTATATGCCCCGCAAGCTGCCCGATCTGCCAGTATGTGGAGGTCAGCCCGAGAATCGGCCGATCTTCCTTTGTGCATACACTGAAACAACGCAAGCGTACAACTTTACAGATATGGAAAAAAACCAACGCTTGTTGAAAGCACGGATGGATAAAGCCCGCGAGCCCGTCAAGTCTCTCCCATTTTATACAAGCAACGTGAGCGCTGTTGTGGAGCAGCTACGTTTCGATATGGGCGACCGGATAAGCTTATACGCAGCCAGCTGAGTCGAATACGAGAGGTGCCAAATATTTAGGAGCACAACCTGGTGAAGATTATTCCCTTCGCAGCCCGCGTGAGTAGTCTCACTGCCTTTTTGATAGAGTACGCTAACGTGGTGTGTACTATCGTGCACATCGAAGGGAAGGAGCCAAGGCGTCGATTGCTACATGCAAGCATTGACCAAGACTGACACGAGCAACAAAGCAGCCGTCTCAGGAGTTGTCCAATCTGTGGAGGGCAACATGCAGTTAAATGCAGCGGAGACTTCAACGGAGCTTCTACACCAGGCAGGTGGAGGTGTCTGAGGAGGCATCGACTATGCTTTTCATGCCTACGAAGTGGTCACATGACTAGATCCGCCTACTGTTCCGGCGGGTGGATACATACGCACTTTTGGATGAAGGATCATCTGTTACGATGATCGACGATTCTCTCAGGAATGATCTAGGAGTGCAAGGTGAGCGTCGATATCTGAATATTCAGTGGCTTGGAGGTAGATCCTCCAGGGAGCTTTCTAACGTGATAAGCCTGCAAATAAGTGGAGTAGGCAAGTCAACTCGCCATGCGTTGCGAAACGTGTATTCCGTTTCGAACCTGAGCCTGCCGATACAGACTCTAGGCTGACGAGATATTCAAGGCGTAGATAAGGATGCCAGCCTGCCAATGAGGCCCTACAGCAAATCAGTGCCGAAGATACTCATTGGATCACGGACACTTAGGATTTCCACTTAGATCGAGACGGTTTGCCAGACAGGGAGCGTATGCGGCTGCAACCGAGCTGGGCTGGGTTGTCTTTGGGCCGGTAAGTGGGAAATCAAACATGCCTTCACCACGGTCTTGCCTCCTAGCTGTGTCACTGGAGGACACTATTCAGAGGATGGTGGAAGACTATTTCGATGTCGAGAACTTCGGCGTGAAGCCCGCGCCACCAGTTGCAGGCAGCGACGACGAGCGGGCGCAGAAGATACTCGAAGATACTACGGTGAGATTGGGCCAACGTTACCAGACAGGACTACTATGGAAGGATAACCACATTGTGCTGCCACGGAGCTTCGATATGGCGTACAAGCGGTTGGTCAACGTCGAGAAGAAGATGAAGCGCAACGGGTCGTTCGCGCAGGAATACACCAGGATCATCAAGGATTACGTGTCTAAAGGATACGCTCGACGTCTAGAGCGTAACGAGGTTCCAGTGGAAAGCAACAGGCTATGGTATTTGCCACACTTTGGAGTTAAAAACCCGAACAAGCCGGCTGTGCTCTTTCATTTTAGAGAAGGTGCGCAGAGGGCGAAGACATTGGTGCAATTGCTGACCATCAAAATAAACTTATCCATAATAAACAAACATATATGTAAGAGGGAGTGGGCCCGCTGGCCTATTGAGGGGGCAGCGAGGATAAGCAACAGCAGTAATAACAGCAGCAGAGTAACAGCTGATGAGCATCACCAGCAGTAGTAACAGTAGCAGCAACAGCAGTAGTAACAGCAGCAGATCAACAGCGGACAGAGAAGAAGAGGAACTGAGCGAAGCAGTGAAAAGGAGAGAACAGCAGCATACGTACGCGACTCAAGCAGCAGCAGAAAATCAGCAGAAATAAGCCGTAACATTAAGAACTTTTGTAAGCACACAAACCAGGCCACCGCGATAATAATACGAATAAACAATACTCTAAATAATATCTGACTCAGCACTTTTTGTCCCTTTTATTACCTATAAATAAGAATCAATTTTACCAATAAAGTCAGTATCAGAAACAGTACTACAACTGCCTGTCACTCATCTTCCATCGCAATCATCAGAGGCTGTCGCCGTGTATTCAGACCCTCCTTTGCGCACTGTAGGATACCCACTCCGCAGTCCAACTTGTTCAAGTTCTAGTTGAGACGGCCAAACTCTAGACGGCCTATGTACGTTATGCAACCCAGCTTCCCACACACACATTAACAGTGATGAAAAAGGAATCCTGACATCTACGAGATGATCGTAATGACCTTTGAAGCAGCCTACTCGCCAAGGGCTGCGCATTACGTGAAGACTGTGAATGCTGAACAGTTTCGACATTCGGATCCAAAAGCAGTCAAGGCCATCATCGACTGCCATTATGTGGACGACTATGTGGACAGCTTTGCTACCGAGAGCGTATCTACCCGAGTGAAGGAGATACATGCGAACGCTGGATTTGAGTTGTGCCAGTTTTCATCCAGCTCACCAGTTGTGGAGGCGGCATTGGGCCCCCCAGGACGAGGCGTGAGCGTCGGATGGTATGAGGCTGAACAGAAGATTCTCGGAATGTGTTGGCAGGCAGCCACGGACGGCTTCAGGTTCACTGTGAAGTATCATCGAGTTCCAAGCAGTGTTTTGAACGGGGATCGAGTCCCTACCAAAAGGGGATTTTTGAGCTTTGTCATGTCCACGTTTGATCCCCTGGGATTCCTGTGTTGCCTAATGATAACAGCG